ACCGCAAGGTACTTTTCAACGACATAAAAATTAGTGCTAAAATTTTACAGAATCATACAGCAGCAAAAAGAACACATTTGATTTATTTTAAATAAACTGAAATCGACTTACCACTAAATAACCTCACAAAAACAGATGAACGTATTTTCATAAGAAACAGCATTTTTGAGATGTTTTCAAAAAACGTTTTGACCGTGTTTTAGCAATATATAAATACCTCGACGACCACGGACGAACGATACTCATCCTGCTACCGAATAATATCGATAAAAAAATTTGAAGCTAAATTGTTTTAGCTCGCAACATCTCTTGAATCCGCGATTAGTTTGACTGCATCGTATCGAACTCGACTCAGCAAACAGCTGCGGTTAAAAAAGCCGATCCTACTACATAGCGCTGACAAAGGCCAACAGAAAGAAGCTAATTAGAGGCTTAGAAGCAGACGCAGCAACAATTACATTCGAGTCACAATTTGCTTTATGTATTCCTTGAAACAGTACATTAATAATTATTACGTATACAATGATTTCCGCTCAAACACTTTTAAAGCAACTTTCTTTTTCAGCTGCCTTTAAATAAATATAAGTCAAAGTTATACCATCTGCTCCTGGTTATGAAAACAGTAAGTGCTGTTACTTGATCTTCTTCTCTGTAATGATTCGTGAACTGTAGCCTTTCTTTGTGGGTGTACATTGAAAGTAATTTCCGCTTACTAAAGAGGCTACGGTCCTTCGTTCAGGTATCGAAAATTGCCTGCGGACTGACACGATGATGAAAGATGTAGTCGTACCAACGCGTATCATCCTGTCGGTTCTTCTTGCAAAATGCTGTATTCCAAACTTCTTCTATTTTCATTGCTGGAGGGCAGTCTTCTGTCACAGTTTCCAAATGCGTTCTCTAGTCGACGTAGATTCTCTCTCCCGTTTTACTGTGTAATAGGCTTACTGTTAATGGCATGATATTTCATGCTATAATGAAATAAATTTGCCAGAAGAAGAAGAAGAAGAAGAAGTAGTTTAAACGGTCAACACGTACAATTTAACTTGGGCCTAGAAAATAGGTTAAACGACAAAATCCAACATAGCATGCGATGGAACTAAGCGTGCGGGACTACCTCTGAAACGTTTATAAATAATTTCTAAAACTTGATCGGCTCGATATTTTTTCCAGTTAACACATTTACAATACTTCGAAGGATATGTGAAGCTACGATGAATTATAGGAGAGTAACTACGTTTCTTCATACCAGCTGCGTTTCCGTTCTGACAGTGCAAGTTCCCGTCTTTTTAGAACTTGATAAAAACCTCCTTATTGCAGTATTGCCAATCTCTCGTTGTAATTATGGCTCAAATCAAGTTTGCGCCGTTAAACATTACCACTCATTAGCGGAAATGATAATTATTGCGATGTTACTAGAAAATGTTTGTCACGATTACAGTATTTTTGGTAATTTTTTAACTTCTCTGTTCGAAGTGCTATACCAAATTCAATCCAACAATGCTAGAACTTCAAAGTAGTCCAACTAAACGAAAAAGAATCTAAGTCAAAGCAAACGATGGCTAGAAAAAAGGAAAATGACCTGAATCAATTGGCTGAATTCGTCTTTCATAACTATGGAATTATCCGCTAATAACATACCTATTGAGCCAGTGGCATATGCCCAGTAGTCTTTTGACACCAGTTGAGTAGAATATGTAGGTTTGTAAGTTTTGGAATGACATAACTTCTTATGGATATGGCAGTTCTATAAGTTCCGGCTGGTAAAACAGTAAAAAATTCATACCGTGCAACGCTTTCACGCGTGAGCACACGTTCCATGCTTCTATGTGTGTCATCGACTTGGTAGCAGTGGACGCGCCTAACCCACTGGTCGTATTCAGCATTCATTCATAAAGTGGTGTAATAAACACTAAAGTCAACTTCGCCTTTTCTCATGTGACTAACATATGGACCAGAATTATGTTGTCTTCCTTCATTGGCTCGATATGTTTGTTTGTTCGCGCATTCATCTAATAACAATGGAACTCAATCCTGTAATTTTTTCCTTAGTCATCACGGGTGGTAAGGTTAGATACTATATAGGTTATGGTATAGTAGACCTAGGCTGGTGAGTGCCGATTGCAGCGTCGATTTCATACCGTAAACGGAAAAACAGGATTACGAACAAACCAGCGCAAGGGTAACGTTAGAGGTCAGACGCAGTGCAGGAGGTAAAGCAGGAATAGGAACAAAGTTGATTTTCCTGCGCAGGAAGAGGGGGTATCCAGAGGAAGGGGCCGAATGAAGAGGGAAATTTGGACAAAATTTGTCTACAGGCTACTTAACTATTACGTCGTTGTGATCATTAGTACTCTGATTCAGAATGTCTAGTAGAGAACGGTGAGCATGTGCAGCTTTCTGAGTGAGTGTGTGTGTATGTGGCTGGGAAGCTGGAGGTTATGTATGCACGTATATTTGTATATTTGTGTGTCTGTGCGCGTCTCTCTCTGTAACGAGTTAAGCGGCAGGTTGATCGACGCGACACAAGGCCCAAAAACCGACGACCCTAACGAAACTTCAGACTTCGGACGAACGGAGCCAGAGCATGTGGTCCGCCCGTTTCTCTACTAGCTCTGTAAGAGGACGGAGGGAGCTGCGAGTGGGTTGGTCTTATCTCGTTAACTATCGCAAAAGACACGTACGGCAAACTCGGAATAAGCATGTAGCTAAAGCTGCTGTTTCTCACTAACGGGGCGCTGGTCATAAGCAAGAACTCTTTTGGTTATATTTTGCTCAGCACTGAACTGTAATTCCCTGTTCACGTCGAGCAGTAGTTGTTCGTCGCCTGTAGCAAAGATGTTACATGCCGTTAGAACTTATCCTTCCTACTTGCTCGGTGTTCCTTGGACACCGCGCTGGTTGTTCCCGCCTTGGCCTTCCTCTACGAAGCGGTCATTCCGGAGTGCCTTCGAGCAAAACATGATTAGAAGTCGAACACTGAAAGAAGCGTCCTACTGCCCCGATAATATGTCGTGTACGTCTCAACCTTCTAAATATGTGGTTGTAATCATTATTGCTTTGAGCTTTCATATAATACTTCGCCGTGACTGAATAATGTCTGATACAATTTGACAGATATCTGACATCCAAGAGGGTTTACTGATTCCAAAATCATACAAAGCATATTTAATGTAAACCAGCTGAAGGCGTTTCGGTGCCACACCACACGTAGTGACGCCACGGTGCCATTATGCGGAAGTAGATTTGTCAAGTCCAGCACTTTTACCAACGTTATAAACCAGATGTTGACACTTAAAATGTATGTTTCCGATCTGCTCATGGAAAATTACAAAACTAATAATAATCGTATGTGACAACTGTCGCTATGTGGTGAATAATTGTTCGATATCTATAGGTATGCATCGTCAAACACAGTGTTAAATGTCCACTCATTTGTTTGGTGCGCTCTGGCCATATGGATGCCACCTGCTTCTTGAAGCGTCAGTTAGATTTGGAAAGTTAACGATGAAAAGTGCTTAATAGGCTATCTCACGCTTAATGAGCTCAAACTTACTTTTATGCAGTTGAGGTTGCACTGCTGCCATAATCCACTATCTGTATACCAAGACAGACATTCCCATCCCATTATGGGTAAAGCTCTTACGACACTCGAGATGAGTTTTTATTTTTTAGACAAGACGACGGTCATCGTAAAGGGGAAACATTTTCTAAATCAATATACAAAATATCCCAAAAATGTATGCATGGTTTGGATTATCGTGAATTCAGCTTTTATTTGCATGTAATTAATGTTCAGATTGCGGAAAAAATATACAGAGAATGCGTTTGATTTCCTCCTATTGCACATGTTCAAAATTACCGTTCTGATCGGTATATCGCTGATAACGATAAATATAGACTCTAGCTTAAATATCAAATAAATAAATAAAATTGTAGGCTTTATCTTAAAGTTAGGTCTATTGGCGTTATGGGCAAGGCATTCCACGGGACCTCTTCCAATGCGTCTGTTTGTGTTCTTTTTAATCAAAATATGCTCTTACCTCAAATAGTGTATAAATGCTTTATCTTGTTTAAGATCCAATTCGCAATCTTTAGTAAAGTCCCTCCCCGTTGTGAAACAGATTTCGACAGTAAATTTAAGTAATAGGCACCAGTTACTGTACTATGGCTTGGTTCAACTAATGGTGATGAAAGAAAGAGATGGTTTAATTAATTCTTTGTTCGAAATTCCAGTGAAGTTCTCGTACATGCATATGGCGTTCTTACTTGTGGAGTCACAGTCGCCCTATAGGTGGAATCATATCGATTAATTATGCCGCCTAATTTGGACACAGCTTTGACACCCCAAATACACTTTTCCTCGAAAACCGTTTATTCTATTCATACATTATCTAAATTATATCATTCACAAATCTTTTTTTTTTCAATCCGGGTCATTTTCATTGGTAGCAGGTACCATTTTTAAAATGTAGTTTTTCCATTTACGTTTTTTTTAAATGCGACGAACGCTTGATTTGCTTATGTCAAGTTCACGACTTGATTGTACTAGAGATACTTGGGACGTCTTGGTAGAACCTTCCAGAATTCGTTAAAATTTTCTGTGCTCTGCTGTCAATATGGAAACTAAATATTTAATGAACAAATGTGGTATCTTACTTCGTGCGCACTCTTCAAGACGTAGATGTTAACGCGTACGGGACGCTAGCATTTAGGCATTTTTTAACTTGACGAGGAGGTGTTAAGGATCCATTTACGTGTCGATTCCACAACTATGTAGCCCTAGAGGTTTAAGCGGGTGCCTTCCAGTATTAAAAATATGGTTCCAAATATTACTCCGAACCCTAGTTGATACATTTTGATCTACAATTTGAACATTCAGTATTAACTAACACTTGTTTACAAAGTTATACGTCATACTCTCAACCCTAGAAATGTTTTCACTTGAACCTTGTTGTTGAAAAAAACAGAAAACAGCACAATTTATTATTAGTAACACAACATACCCATTTATTGTGTTTGACTATATTCGTATTAGTATATTGTAACACGTTATGTTGCAGCCGTATATATTATACGTACTGTATTGTCTCTTCTTTTGGGTGCAATGACGTATCGACGACGCCCGTAATTAAAGTCAACTAAAAGCCAACTTATTCTATTGAAATGTACATGTAATGTAAAAAGTATTTCATCTAAAAAATAAAATAGTTAGATCTAAAAAGAGCTAAATATTTTATGAAACGGTTCCATTATTGCACGTACTATAAGAATTAAAGACTAGCGCTTCCTAGAGATGGATGCAAATAACCACTTGTTCTCAGTGAAAACTACGTTAATTTGAATACACACGCAATCCTAGCAGTCGTACTTTGGTCTGTTAGTTAGTGACATGAAAATTCTATGGCACAACTGTAATTAGTTGTTAATTTCTATAAGCGTCCGTTTTACTTGTACAATATAAAATGCTCATGTTAATATGATATTACAGTTATAATGTTGGAAGACTTACAGCTTATATTAGCTTACCTTTTCGTGAGAAATGCTAAATGAAGCCTCATATTTTCCACATCTCAAAGAAATGACATAGTTTTGTTTTGTACCTAGAATCAAATCAATTTAACCGATGCCAGTGCTCTGACTTATGGCTTCTATCCTATCGGAATATAACGTGCGATAAAGAAAAACGGTTAACTTCAGGGTAGGTTACCTTTAAGGGATCTACACATTTCAGTATTATTCCCCCTGACGAAACCTAACAAGTTAGGCAAGTCCGCCAAGGCAGATATATTTAATTTCAACGTATTCATCAACGCCATAGCGAGATCCTTCCCTGCCGATGCCAGACTGTTTGACACCGCCGAATGGCGCTTGAGCTGTTGAGATGAGTCCCTCGTTAACTCCAACCATGCCGACCTGCAACTTTTTAGCTACCCGGAATACTTGCGCAATATCCTGGGAATAAAAATATCCGGCCAAGCCCGCTTCGGTGTTGTTGGCCAATTTCAAGACCTCCTCTTCTGTGTTAAAGCGGATCACAGCTACTAACGGTCCGAACGTTTCCTCATGACAAACCTTGAAACGAAAATATATACGAATATAATATGTAACCGATGTAATGTTGGAATTTATAAAACAGAGCGATACTGCTGAAATATTGCGCTCAATCTATCCATAACGAAAATCTTTCGCCAGTGATCGGAAAAAATCACTCTTTTACAGTTTGGCTAACTAATTTGTTGAGGGATGTCATAATGACGTAATAATGTCGCAGGAAAAATGTCATAACAATACCAACCTCCATACTGAGTGTGATATCAGCCGCAATGACAGGATCAATAAAGTTGCCTTTAGAACTCCCCTCGAGTAGGATACGCCCACCCTTTGCTTTAATGTCTTTGAGGTGATGTTTGACTTTTTCAACGGCCTTTGCATTAATGAGAGGACCACATGTTGAGCGCTCGTCAAAGCCATCACCTACTTTTAACTGGGACTTCATGGCTGCCGCCAGTTTTTCTGGAAAAAGTGTTTCTCGAACTTAGGCGCACGGATAATTTCTGTTGGTCATTTCTATCATATTCGGTCAAAAGCTGCACTCTCCGATTTATTGTTAGGATTAGAAGCAGCATTTCACAAACCTATAAACTGTTCATAGATTCCAGTCTGCACAAAAATCCGATTAGCCGAGACACAAGTTTGACCCGTATTTCGGAACTTCGCCACCAATAATCCTTCAACGGCACGGTCAATGTTGGCAGAATCAAATACGATAAATGGTGCATTGCCTCCCAGCTCGAGCGAAACCTTCTTTACAGTAGACGCACATTGTCCCAGCAACAACTGAAAGTTAATGAATTCGATGTGTTCTTTATAATTTAATCATAAAAAGTTATCTCATTACAATGCGTTATCGAAGACATCGTTCAAGATGCAATGGAACTCATCGGTCCATCAAACAAAATATTGAAAATTCTCGATTAGATTCAGATACCTTTCCTACAGCCGTGCTACCAGTAAAGCTAAGCGCATGAATATCAGGATGCGTAGCTAGAGCTGTGCCCACGCTTGGAGTATTCGTTTGGGAAGCTGGGAGAAAGTTGACAACTCCAGCTGGGTAACCTGCCTGCTCAGCCAGCTCCGCAATTGCCAGTGCCGATAACGGGGTGTCCTGTGCCGGTTTGACAACAACGGTGCACCCCACAGCCAACGCGGCACCAATTTTTCGAGTAATCATGGCATTGGGGAAATTCCACTGAAAATTAAGTTCACTCCATTAGATTAGACACATTGTTAGATTCAAAATTCCAGTGCTAAGCCTTCGGAGTCACAACGTCTTGAAGCTATGTTATTTTTGAACATAAAATACCACAGGTGAAACAATAAGGGTAACGTAAATTTATTACTAGATCAGTTTAACACTGACAGATTTGAATTAAGCGTATCGTGTATTTTCCTCGAGCTTGGTGGGGCGAACGTGATCTAAACGTTTCCAACAAAACCTATTTAATCTTAATTACTAAACATAATTAGAACCTAAAGACGCCTTGGTATAATATCTGCTTTGTCCAACCAACCGGTGTAATTATTCCAGCAACCCCAAGCGGCTGTTTGATGGCGAGTATCTCTCGGTCAGTTATACTAGCAGGTATAACGTCACCGTATAATCTCTTTGCCTCTTCCGAGAACCATTCGAGAAAGGAAGCACCGTAAACAATTTCACCAGTAGCCTCGCGTAAGGGTTTTCCATTCTCGAGAGTCATTATTTCCGATAGTTCCTACAATCAACAAGACACGCTAATTTAAAGTAGTATCTACTGAGGCAAGCTATGGCAGTTCTATAAATTTGAACACAAACTTAACGGAATTCATTAATCTCACGTCTGAAAAGGTTTTGCTACTAGTCTGAGAAGTCCCTGCGTTATTTTTATCATCATGTTCCACGGTGTTTGTCTATCTGTATTCAGGCTCCACATAAATGAAGCACTTTCCCCTAACTACTAGTTTGAGCGGGAGCAATGCCTATAATTTGACTTCACGAACCTTCCGATGCTTGTTGTGCAGATCAAAAAGATTCCGAAGGAGAGTACTGCGCTCTTTCGCTGAAGTCTGGCTGAAGCTCTCGAAAGCTTCTAACGCAACTTTCACCGCTTTATTGACATCTTCAGCGTTGCAATCAGCCACATTCGCTATCTCCTCATTCGTGGATGGGTTGTAGACCTAACATGTTAATGTAACACCGTTAAGCCCAAGTAATGCCTAAATGACCGGACTACACTCAGTATCCACAGAAAGTAAGGACAATAAAGGAAAAAAATATATTTATCATATTATAGATCTACGGATATGTAATTTATTATATCAAAACAACGAATAATCAGAATCTGTAAAATGAATATGAATTGTCATTGTTACTATGATAGCTGCAAGTAGGATCGAGGCAATTAACCGGAAACGTGGTGCCGCTAGAGGCGTCTGTCCATTTCCCGCCGATATATGCTTTCGTACGAAGCAACGATAGCGTCGATGCCGTTCTCAGCTGCTGCGATATATACGCTATCCCGCTCTTATGGTACCCAAGCGTTCTGGTCAATGAAACCGACACCTTCAATCCCGACCAAGAGAAATATTATATATGCCAACATGGTAAAGTTACAAGCTCTAACCATGGACGCTCATATAATAATAGATATGAGATTTCCCGTTAGACCAAATATTTGCGCATTGCTTTATGCTCTGTTGTCCTGTTTCAAGCAACAATGCATGCAAGAAATCAACATACTGATTCATTAGAACTGTTCTGGTTTAGTTTCATGAACCTATTTTTCTTTTAGTAATTATTATTAGAATTATTATGCTTCCGATAATAATCACATCAATTATAAACACACAGGGTTAAATACCTTGTTACTATTAAAACATAAAATTGTCCTTTCATACTATGAGTCTCGTAAATCAATAAGCTTAACATTTGTGCAGATATTAAAGGAACCTGGACTTATTTGAGCGGGCTTGTACCGTTAATCGGCAGTTTACTCATAGCTTGTAAGCCTTAGGATTGCGTTGCATTAGTTACAGATGATTCGTTTCTTGTTATAGTTTGTATTTATATATCTTTTGAAATTAAGTGACCGTAGTAATAAATATTTGCCGTTTGTTTAAGCCGATATGGCCAGTGGTCAGTTAATTCGAATAGGCTTTAATACGAACCTACCTATGTACAATTATTGTAAACCAAGAACTTTTTTGCCAACGGTAAAACGTCTAAGGAGCATAATCAGTTCATGCAAATTCTATTCGATCGAATTTCTTATCGTAACTCACCACGAATTCGAAAAGAGGCAATTAAGATACAAGGACATCTTAGCTTACCGATGGGAGTGGTATTTTGCGAATGCTTTTTTTGTCCAATCGGTTAAGTTGTATGAGATATTATGTTACATATAGCATAGGATTTTTCTCCAAATTCTGGAGAAAACCCTTCACATCAAGACCGGCATTTTTCACAGCAGGATTCAAACAAAAAAAGCCTTTTTATTTGTTATTTGGGGTAGCTGATTTTCATATGTGCCTAATTTTTTACTACTCTAACAATATCCAGAGCTGCACTTTATTCTCTCTCTGAGTTCAGCTGGACCACTTGACAAGATTTCTCAACGAAGCATTTACAACCCGCACGCGTTCCCACTAGTACACACTTTCCTATTTTCCGTTTACAACGGGTATAGAATGTACGAACTTTACATCTTACCGTTTGATACATTTTTGCGCTACGCGCGATGCCAGGATCACGCTAATGAACAGGAGGCCTGCTACCAGTGCCTCCCTAGAAGGCGACTCAATTCGGAGTTATGTAATTCTCACTCCACGTTCCCATCACGGTCAGCGCCATCTAGCGGTCAGATTCAGGCAATCAGCTGTTCTCTAGAAGCTTCGCTGTCTAAGTAGACTCGTTTATGAAGCGACAGATTTCCCGAGATCGGTTTAATAGATAACTTCTAGCCTTTTGATTGACTTAATCAAACCGCTGATCAGAATTATTAGGCACTTTATAAGTAACAAGGCGAACGATTGGCTAGAGCTCTGGAAAAGCTACGCATCAAGTTTCTATGACCATGAGCTGCTTTCGCGCCAATGCACAGGTTTCCGAAAGGCTAGGTGTTTGTGGAATTGTGAACTGCTGCCGACGACAATAGGTTCGAAAACTGAATGAATCGAAGCTCGATTCGTTCCGCGCAAGTAATACTACTCACTTTGACGTATAGTCAGCTGCCTTTAACATTCACAGGCAATATTTTTAATTCCAAGGTATGGGTCCCATATGTATTAGTTACAGGCATGTTAGATGTAGCATTTTCCTTCTGTGAAACGAGATCAGTTAAATTAGACCGTCTTGTATCAGTATGTTTATTCGCAGTTCCTTCATGCAGACACACGTACGCACCGTAAACGCACATTTTGAATTTATCGGAGCTTCATCAGCCATCGACAATTCCACATATACCCGTCGTCTTCTGAGCATTCGTTTTTGACCGATTTATTAACTCTTTTCAATACTACCTTGATTAGTTTTATCGGCACAATAACGAACATCTGTTTATGTAGTCTTCGTATGTTATGTAGTCTTCGAATCAAGTGGGTCCTTCACGTGTCGTATATAGTAGTTGCAAGGATTTGCTGGGATACAAAAGATGTGTGTATCCGTTCCTTTAAACAGCGACAATTTTTAGCCTAGCTCTAAAAACTCGCGGCTACAGCGTGTTTCTGAATACAATTCACAGCTAGCTCTCACGCATCTCAAAACTTGTGTATTTAAGACACGGATTTATTATCTGCAACTTTTCGTAGGAGAAAATTATTGTAATTATATAAATTAAGTGTAATTTCATATCATCTCCGAAATTTTTTTCCTTAAGGATGTCTTCGTGTAAGTGTTCAAAAATATTAGTATACTGTGTGTCTGTGTGTTGCTATCAGGTGTAGAAGAGAAAATGTTTTTTTATCTAAGTTGAAACAAGCGACTGAAAATAACACATGCAGAAACGTACAGACGATAAGTGTGCTTTATACCGTCTTGGTATTTAACGCTAAAATAATTACCGAACATCGCTCTGTTAGCATTTATCACTTGGTACTCCAAATTTTATGTGCCCGCTAATTCGTCTAATTTATATGGGATGTCTAACCAATGCTGTAAGTATGTATTGTGATGTCTGATCAGGAGTAGCTTTTCCGATATATCAATATTTTATAAAAATTGTATTCACTATACGTATTAGAGTAATTTGTGATCACGATTTTCTTAAACTAACATATTGGCCGTTCACTATAATCAAGCAGATTGAATTGCACTCAATTTCAGCCCTAAAAATGAACCACGCGGTTCGTAAGGACGTGCTGGAACAGTATGTCACAAGCGGAAATGACGCTGTAGAATTTCGTCTTGTACATACGGCAGCTGATCTCAATAAGGAAGAAGGCACCTTCAACCCGGAAATGTGCCACCAGTTCTTCGGTGAAGGAGAAGCAATATTTGGCTATAAGGATCTTATTATTCAACTGTACTTTGCTGCTGGTAGTCTAGAAATCTTTCTTGGACAGAAGTTTTCCGAAAAGATATCTCCTGACAAGGCTGAAGACGTAGAAGCTGACGACGTTCTTGGTGTGATTAGTGAGAAACTGCCCGAAAATGATTTTTACACAAATCTCGATGTATTCACCAGCAAGCTGCAGGACGAGCGAAAGTTCAAACCAATGGGTGAACTCCAGCACCAGTGGAAGCCGGAAAGCAGTGAGGTCACGTACGAAGTTTACCACAATATGGTTGCTGACCCGAAATACCGAAAGTATCATATGCGAATGGAATCTTTTGTCATGTGGTTCGTTGACGGCGCTCAGTACATCGACACAGAGGATGAAAATTGGAATTCATTTGTATTATACGAGAAACGCCGTGAGGGGGAAAATACGTGGTACACCTTCTGTGGTTATTGCACAGTGTACAAGTATTGGGCGTATCCCGATAAGCAGCGCCCTCGGGTCTCACAAATCCTAATACTGCCACCTTTCCAAAGGCAAGGTTTGGGTGCCCAGCTCCTTCAAATGGTCTACAACTACTATGTAGGCCGGGCTGATGTCGTTGACATTACTTTCGAAGATCCTTCCGAAGAGTTGACAAGGGTTCGGGATTATATCGACGCTAAAAACTGTCAGAGACTTGCTCCATTTCACGCTGCCAGGCTAGCAAAAGGTTTCAGTGAGGAAATGCGTGTAGAGGCTCGTGAAAAACTGAAAATTGGTAAGCGTCAAGCACGACGCGTTTACGAGATTCTCCGCCTAAAGAACACCCAGCAGAAAAATGCAGCCGAATACAAGAAGTACCGGTTGGATATTAAGAATCGTCTAAACGCAACGGCTCGTCAAGAACAGATCAATCTTGAAAAGGCAAAGAAAGCGTTCAAGAAAGAGGGCGCCTCGTACGCCGAATTACACGCGTCTCTCGATAATCGAATAGAAAAGCTCGATGCTGAATACAAAGAGCTCGAGGGCGAATACCTCAAAGTTATTGAGAGATTAAACAGAGACTAGAAATACTACTGCAATTTCAGGCGTTCTCTCGGTGTGCGCTATAAAGACTAGACTTACCGACCACATTCTAACAACAATAAGGACCTCTATTAGTCAACGCTAAGAACTTAATCAGAGTGTCTTTTTTTAAGACAGCTTAAAGAACTCAATGATGATAGCTTATATTGTACATACAAACAATAGATATAAATGCTTCATGTTTGACTTTTACTGAATAAATATATCGTAAAAATGCAATTGCTTTTGCACTGTCTGTTTTTCTCGAAAAAGCAGCCACTAAGCGTGTAACGCGACGTTTGACGCTTTTAAAGATGCGCCATTCTTTTTTATAGTTTCAGAGTACCTCTCTGTATGTGTAGATAAACGTTGTCATCACGTTTATAATCCTCTAGATCTATTGGCATCCAAAAATTTCAGAAATCCTCTAGGTCTACTGGCATCCGAAAATTTCAGAAATCCAAAAATTTCACAAATGTTAATCTACTTATTGAAGATCGTCAAATTAACCACGAAAGCATCGTTCCTGTCGATAATATTACGATCAGCTTGCGATTATGTATTTAAATACCAGGTAGAGAATCCCGACAAAGATTCTATGATCAGACAAAGTTATTTACGTGGTTGATCGTTTGAAAATAATAATGCACTACGGCGTCTCTGTTAGTGACGATTCTTTACTAAAGTAACATAAATATCTGGAGAACTTTATTTACAGTAGATAGTTAAAACACTTGGGCGTCAGTGATGATCTTTGAGAAGCAAATTGCAATACCAGCCATCTCTATACAAACTCAGAAACACATTTTTATTTTCGGTCGCATACGTTTTTGGGCACTTAGATGGCTTGTGGAAGAATGTTTAATATTTTCTCATCCATATATTTTTATTGAATTATCTGTGACCGGTGTTAGATTTTCGTTTTTTCGCATTTGTGGATCGTTTTAGTACTCTTGAGTTATTTGCGAATAGAGAATCACAAATAGATTCTAATATATCTATGAACCTAAATAACATATAAACCCATGAGTTTTTTTTATTGGTGTGCTTATATCGGTTATACACATTGTAAGTGCATAACATTGTATGCACATTTGTATAGACACCCCAGTGTGAGCCGCTGTATTAATTTCTAAGATAATGTTATATTTACAACTGGTGCCATTACTTTTTAGCGTTTTTCCTATTTATAGTCAGAATCCATGTTACGGTCTTAGAGTCCCCTGTGTACTTATTGGGATCACTAAAGTAAAACTAATTGGCATTATTATTTTTATTATTATTGTAATACTTAATCTCTTTAAAAAACGGCGTAGCAGTTCACACAAGAGAAATATAAATCTACAACTTTCTTTGCGAGCCCACCTTGCGGCACAACGCCCATTCGCTTTTGAAACGAGACAACTAGATGCCGCTTAGGAACTGCAAAAACCATTTCTTCATATAGTTCTTGCCGGCGTCCAACCCTAAGTTAAATCCATTAACCGGTGTTTTGTAAATTGGCTAAGTAGAATAAAATTAAGAAACGATAAAGGTGGTTCCCTTAAGCGGAGAAAAATCGTAAGTGTCTAGTCGCATGTGAATAGCTTTCTACAAATCTAAGAATGTGATTTTTCATCAAATAGGTAACATGAATATTCTGGGTTGGTACGTAAACATCGAACATAAAGTGTATACTATTTGATTTCCAATGACTGCAGTTTATTTTATATATCATGTTTAAGAAATCTATTCTAGGAAGTTATATATCTATAGTCTCCTGTTTTTACAGCCTCCTATTTAGTTTAAACAAAATCCTTTAACTAAGATAGACACCTTGTTTGGTAAAATTCTACTACGCTATTTAAGGTGTGTACAGCATCTGCAGTAGACGTACACTATTCTAATAATATTACAATAATATATACAGAAATATAAATTAGCTGTGCTTAAGATCATGTCGAACTTTAAGAAACTACGTGCCTTCTAACTAAATACTAGTCCTGATAAAAGCATCCTAAAAGTCAAATACATGGATTTGGATTATCGGCATCTTTGTGTTTGAGCGCTACAATAAAATTTATGAACTGTTACTCGCGCATCGTTACCTTGGCCACGAAGGAGAGAGCCAAGGGCAGTTTTCCTGTCGGTAATGTCTTGTTAAAATAGCAAATGCCGTGCAGTTATACGGATTCTATTATTGTAAATTGTACTATATCTTGATGAAAATAATTGAATTAGTCTTCTAGATGGGTCAGACTTTCGGCTAAAATATCGCGCGCGAAATCTGGCTTAACACCATCAATAGAGAAAAAATATCGTCTGACACTTTTTTCAGTTTCAAGTAGTACATACGATCATACCTGATTAAAAACTTAATAAGTTATAGCTAACACAGGAATTATGACTTGCTTTGATTCCACTCCATTACAGATTTTTGCCTGTACTAAAATGAGAGTCCTTTTTCTCCTGATTGCCATATCCGTTGTTGCTGCCTCAACGGAGACAGATGGAACTAAAGGACCAAAAGGTGAAACTGATTTTGTTGAAAAAGAGTACGGTGTTCGTTATGCGGACACTTGCGAAGTATGCAAGTACCTTGTAACTGAGCTGGACTTAGAGCTCCAGGCGACAGGTACGGACTTGAGGAAAAGAAACATAAATTTTTATTGATACTTGATATATTCATACTTGATGAGCACGTTTTATGTAAGTTTAAATTACGGCAGTTAAATATTCATTCGCGTTCAATAATTTAAGATATTGAACTTTAGAATTTCAAACTGTCATATTTTAGAGAAAAACAGGAACATATTGCAATATTGTATTCACAAACAGGCAAAACGCACGATGTTATCGAAACCGGGTATCATATAGATACGCCTCCGGAGAAGCGTAAGGTGAAAAAGTACGTCACGTCGGAACTGCGTCTAATAGAAACACTGGAAAGCGTTTGCAACCGGCTTTTAGAGTACCGACTGCATAAAGAGAGAACTGATTCAACCAGATTTGCGAGAGGTGGGATCTATCAACATCTAGCTAGATTAGAGTTGTTTTTTTTAGTTCGGTCTTGTATAAACCTCTTAAACGTAATTAATTTTGCCTAACTTTCATGTACAAAATAAAATAGCCTTTGCTATTTCCATCCTGCAAAGGCTAAACATTAACTACTATAAATATTGTACCCTTTGCCGTGTTGAACTCGTACACCGTTATCATGACTCACCTTCTTCATAGAGACAATGTATGATAATAACTACACTTGTTAGTTATTTTTGTAGCCAGATTCAGAAGAAGCTTTAGACAATGGATTGCAATAAGCTATTGTAGTGTAGACTGAATTTAAATTACACATATATAAAAAACAACATGATTATTTTACATCCCTAACATTCATCGGTCAATCACATATCGTCTGTGTTGTGTGTTTAGGCACTTCTCAGACGTTCCAGGTGCTTAACAATTTGGTCGCTAAAGGTGTTAAAGTCGATCTGGGTATCCCGCAAGAATTGTGGGATGAACCACCCGCCGAGGTCACAAACCTGAAAACTCAGTGTGAGAAAATGCTCGAGTCACATGAATCCGACATTGAGGAATGGTAGGATCTACATGATTTCTATAGTAATCAACATTTAGAACTAGACTTTAATGCAGAATTTCCCCCGAAATGGTCTGGAACATGTCAATAAATCAACCATTAGAGTTCGAAAATAAACAACACTTAGTTTTTCTAAATAAGATCACTAGCCAGTTTTGCAAGCGCCGCAGATTTGAAACCGGACATTTAAATAATTTTACGAAAATTTTTCTCACAATAAAGTATCTTAACAGGAAAAAGAAATTGAAAAGCGAGAGCAATATCGCTGCGACGCCGCGCATACGTCATTGTTTCTGTAGCACTGTCCAGAGAGTTTTCAGGCCGAGGATTGGTTAAGAAAAAAAATACAATTTCATCAGGCAATTGTTATCATGCTTTTTTTGTTGAAGTAAAGAACCTTGTATTGCAGATTGAAACAGGAAGCCCGATGAGCTTGGGCTCTTATTTTAATTTGTGATAATCCGGTGCGGCTCATCAGGTCTTTTTTCATCCAATGATTATTAAGAATGGGGTTGTGGTAGATAGTTTTTTTTATCGGGGTAAGTTCTCTCTATCGTATTTTTGGCAGAATCGTTCAGTACATTGGGTTAAACAAAGACATTTATTTATTTTTCAGGTATTTTCAACAGACCGAAAAAGTTCCCCTGATGCAATATCTATGCGAGGAACGCGTACTTAAGAACGATCCAAGGCAAACTAAGTGTTTGCATGAGCAACTGCTGGATGGTGACAATAAATCAAGGGACGAACTTTAATTTCTAATGTCTGGTACATTTCTATACACTTTCAAATATTGTATATATAAATGATTCTGTAAAAATAAATTTAGTCATTTTAATTTACCTTGTACCTGAATAATATTGTAAGTCTCTAAAGAAATTTTAATGACACGGTTTTCGTATTTCGAAAGATGCATGCAATGTACGTCAAAGTGACCGCGTTAATAATGAGAACTCCATTTATTGTTTTAAATAAGGTAAAAATAAAATCTTACTTAATCTCTTGCAGTCCAAACTGGACGTTCAATTTGAGCACCAGCCGAAGTACTCTGTGTGATTTGCTTATTCGATAATGGATATGGTCTATGGCAATTGGTAATATAATAACTGTCAACGTTATCATAAACCGTGTGGAATGTTCAAGTAGAAGGGGTATCTGAAGTGTACATATTAGGTTACAAATAAGCCCAGAAAAAGCACATTGTGTTTTTTACCTTGCTTTACACTTCTTAAAATTAAAAAAAAGGAATTATATTAAGAAATTCACCAAATAAATGCTTTTTATAGGTCAGAATGTATACATTATATATATCACGTACCCTTCGGGATACACGTAGTTATATTTATTTACCTTTACCAAGACATAGATTTGGGACCGACACTTCTGCCGACGGCTTGAGTAAAGCTTAAGTCGAGAAGACCAACATTAAAGCAATTTTCAAATGGTCCCGTGGTTGATATATCTTACTTGGCTAGAGTTCTGAAACTTTATAGAAAACATTGGAGATGAGTAGATGTCTCTAAATTCGTCTTAAATCGTTTTCTTCTTGAGTGTGTGCGTATTTCTAAAAAAACTGACATGTAAGTGCTCTCATGCAACATAACGCAGTTCAAGACGCAAAATTCGAAACATGTGTTAGATTTTTAAAACAGATTCAATAACATAGGAAAACATAACTAAGTATAAGTCTCGGAACGGAATCCTCTTGAAGGCCTTTCACGTTTCCTCCAAGATAATTAGTCTTGTTTCTTTTATATACATTTGATATTGGCACATTATACGTTTAGTCTCGTGGATCAGATGTCTACGCTTGAGTATTATTTTTCGATTCAACTTAGAAAGTTTGTGAAAATTATATCAAAAATTATCGCAAGTAAATGTCTCTAGATTGACAGATGGGATCAAGGTTGCAGGTTTGTGAGTCACTAGTAGGCGACATATTATTATTATTTATCCGAAGCAAATTCCAAATCATTTTTGATATGGAAATTGATATGGAAAATGGTAAATAATATTCAAAATTTACTCAAGTTATCTTCAGACATATTGTATTTATATTATTACAAGTTTCTAGAAGGCTGAAATATTTATGACCAGTATGCTAGTAATCTATTCTCTATCTAGTAGTGGAATAATGAGTTCAGAAGGAGAAACATCTTTTAATCCCAAAGCTCAACACTCAGTGATCAATTTTTCCTTCTCGAAAGGAAATCTATTAATGATTAGTGAAAACATCACACAAAAAGGTTTTAAGCAGAAACACGATAAGTAAATGATGCGGATGTTTAGAGAATGGAGTATTGAGGTCAGCCAGATGATGACTAAGAAGAAAAGATACTTCTTATATGCATGCAAAAAAATCATCATTCTATGCACACTAGTTTAAAAGTTATTCAATATTAAAGTCAGCCGGATTCGCTTATAACAGTGTGATGACATGGTAAGGCCTTTGTCATGGACCATGGCCTACCCTATCGCGTAAATATGATCTTTATTAACAGTCATGTTGTTCTATTCAATTAAATAGGTCAATACATGTTATATAGGGACAGTTAAAATGACCTGCTGTACTGCGAAAAAACGAAAAATAATTGCAGCGGTAGTTGAAATTAACTTATTTTAGTGGCGGTTCTCACAGCTATCCAAGACCAAGGTCAGCGTCTTTTGAAAAGCCCGCGCTGCGTTCTCGTCGATTTTATCACCTATTCGACGGAAGGTGAATCTAAAGAACAGTATGAGCAGAATTCGCAACTAGGAAATTTCGGACAATCCATGTTAAACATCAGTATGCGTCAAACAGTGTGAGCAAGTATTTGTGGTTAAAGTGGAATTCGAGAACACAAAAATTGTTGTCAAACTGGAGTTGACTGACCAGATAAACTAGCACGAAGCAGGTGTACTTCTTTGGTCAAAAATCATAAAAAGTCTCTTGTGCCAAGCTATTCGTCATTGTTTTCGTACCTTCGAAAAAAAGTGCAGTTAGTAAACTAAGATAATGAGTTCTATTACACCCGTGGGGCCAAAAGCCCCTGTACAAGCCAAGGTGCTGTCAGAGCGGTCTGAACGAGCGCTGGCTCTTCAAAATGAAGCGCATACGTCGAAGCGAAAGATGAAGGTGCTAGAAGAAGAGGAGTTCGTTGAAAAGCTAGAAAAGATTATAGAACGAGATTTTTTTCCTTATCTCGAAACTGTGCGTAAGCAAAGTGAGTATCTTGATGCTCTTGATAGTCAGAACAGCATTCGCATTGCTGAGGCCGAAAAGCAACTTGGGAAGACGCCTCATGTTGAAGTCGGAGACACTCCTTCCAAAGAAGGATGGGATGACGAAGATTGGATTAAAAATACTCCAGGCCCGTCAAAGGTACCGTCGCGCACTTCTGAAAAAGAAGCCAAGCTTAAGAAAGAACTTGAAGGAGTTTCTCTTTCGCAGTTTATGGCAAGATACACTTCTGAGGACAATGATTCTTTCACTCAGATTATGAAAACGAACGAGCAGAAACGGCGAGAGAAGTTGGACTGGATCTACAAGCATGAACAGGACGAGGAAAAGAGCGCTAAGAGCGACTCAGCTTTAATGCCTCCACCTGCAACACCCTTTGCTGTGACTGACGGTCGGTCATCGAAGCCATTGGATACTTGGAAGTACAAGGCGCATAACACTGTCATGTATTATCCAGAAGGGGCATCTCTTACTGACCAAGAAATTCAGGATCTTAAAGACAGTCATGTTAAGGTCCAGCATTCGGCAACTCGTCTTGGCACGAGGCCGTGGGGTACCTCAATCAATATGAATATGGCCACCACCGCAGCAGCATCGAGCGCTTCTCAGCAAACCAAAGGCGATGGGTTTTGGAATGGAGTTGTCGAAAAAGTGGGAATCAACGGTAAACAGAGTTGGGAGATTGCATCTTCACCAAAAGTCAACGGTTTCTCATTTGTAGCCACACCGTCTCCAAGGCCTGGAGTCGGCGACTCACCTTTAATGACCTGGGGAGAAGTTGATAGCACCCCTTACCTTATTGACAGCGCCGGGGATACTTCGAAATTCCGGATGAAAGCGCCATCTGAAAGAGAAAAGTTAGCTCATTCGTTAGCGGAGAGGGCTGCTGCTGCCAAGAAGAAACAGAAGGCGATGAAAACTGTTCAGGACAACTTTACTCACAGCACCGTGCCCCAAAGTCCACGATTCACCGGGCTTTCCCCAGCAGCAAAGAGACTTGCTGTTGGCAAGCTAGGTATCAGTCGAGGTGTAGATAAGAAACTTATGGCAAGCTATTCACCTAGCCCAAGTCAGAGTTCAAAAGAACGATTTGCGACGCCTGTATCAGTAGTCGCGCCATTTCCCAGTCCCTCACCTCGGCTCTTCACTACAAAAACACCAGACTCAGGCTCGTCGGACGCACCGAAAATCCGGAAAGCAAAAGCGAGCGACTTCTTCTAGGTTGAAAACTGTTTCACGAAGGTTCATCAGAAAAAGCAGCGGTCTAATTATTTAATTTAATTTAAACAGGTGCCAAATAGTAGTCTAATATTATTGTATATAGAAACCTGCAAGTAAGATCATTGACCCACAAATAGTATTGATAAAAGCATAGAATAGGTCTCAGGTTTACCGTTTAGAACCACAAAGTTAATTGGTGCAGAAATTCCTCGCGTATATCAAGGTTGTCGCCTACGTGCCATGTAGATAATGTAAAATATGTGACAATATAACTGCGAGTTGTTGTTTTTCATGACGTGTGTTTTTTTAAGTAATTTAAAATTGCGATAGTTAGACTGAGAAGAAAATGTCGAGATTTAATACAACGACTATACTATTAGCCTGAAGCGACTCTAAGAAAAATGTATGGTTCTATTAGATTTTTTCAAAACAATGGCGATATAAAATGAGATAAGAATTTTCGCAAATATTGCTGCTATTAGCTTAGGGATGAGCATAATATATGCATTCTATTATACGTAAACATTTGATAATTAGGTTATTGATTTATTACCGACAAATAAGCTTATCAAAAGGTTGTTTGATGAGTGTTCGCCAACGTCCACCTCTTCAGGACGCAGTCAATAATGGAATTTGAATAATCTAAAACCATATATTCTAATATTATGTCTGTGATATGAAATAAATTCTGAAACTCATTAATATAATTAATCCCATTGTTATATACATATCTGCTTCTCGAAGTGCTATGTCATAACAATATTACTGATTACCCGTTGTGAAAAACTCTTGCGCAAATTCCATAAAACGAAATTTTGTAATTAACACATATTTATTATTATTTAACATATTAATTCAAACAAAACAAAATAAGAGTACTGTACAATTTCAGTGCAACATTTATTATTAATATTATTATGATTATCTTCAAAAGATTTTACTGTTTATTTAGTTGGTGTTCATATTGCACTATTAAGTTTCTCGACTGCCGCCAACTAGTGGCCCACGTTGGTTATTTGGGTTGCGATCAATGCTTGATAATTATTTCGAATTGTTACGGCCTCTGGATGTATTCATAGGGTTGGAAGTGGCTTATAACAAGGTGACCACAGACTTACACAATAGAACCAATGAAGATCAATTGATCTTAAATGGTTCTCTGAAGCTAAAGCATACTCGTGATCTTTAACTTGAACAAAATTTACTCTACATCTAGTAAATCAGTTGAACTATTTCATTATACTATACATGCACTGTTTTAAAGCAGTCTCTGATTCAATCACACTGTAGCGGATACGAATGCCTAGTCTGAGCACCGCCTGCCTTAGCACCTCTGAGTATTTTTTTTCTATCTAAAGCTGGCAGTCACTTGAGGATGATCAATGGCACGGGCTATGATGGGCTTTAAGACCGTGTCTATTGTCTTCATACATTCCATCTAACAAATAGTCCGCCCTGGTGTAATGTCTGCGTTCCCAGCAGTCGAGAAACTTTTGTCCAAAAAAAGCAAACATCGCTAGCAAAGCAAGAATGAGGGCTGAATATAGAAAAATCGTTCCGACCGGGGTTTTACGTTTTTCTGACATAGGCATGTTCGGATGCTCCCGATTCGAGATTGTCGTTTGGTTAAGATGCTTGTCAGTGGGCGGTGGGGGTAGTCCAACACCTTTTCGTGGTTTGATCATTGAATCGCGTTGAGGATCAATGTTCTGTGACGGTGGCATTTGCTGGTCAACAAAGCTAAGTATGGGCCCGTTTCCGCCGGATTTACTGAAGCCATCACTTACTTCACTGGTATTGGTTTCCTTAACTTTGTATGCGTCTTTTGGCACAAATAGCGTTCTGTCGTAGGAAACGAATTCGGTTCTGGGGTTGAAAATGCACAACTCACTTGGATAGCATGTAAGAAGGTGGCAATTAGCGCCTGTCGATTTAATTTCCAACGTCGCTATTGAGCAATTCACTGAAACAATACAAACAATTGTAACTGTTTGACTAAAGCAATGAGTATTAAAACGCAGGTTTAATGTTTGTGCAGGAGACCCTAGAATTGTTTAGAGTGGGTGAAAACAAGCGGTTTATATTTATCAGTTACACGTATTTACACACAGAACTTCGTACTATATATATGTTATTAAAAATACCAATACTTTATATCTAACTTAACATTCAAGTCAGTCGCATTTTATTCGGGCTATTAAGGCCAACAATGTTCTTGTTCAAATAGAATATGTATAGTGTGATACTTCCGTCCGTTGTAAAGTCTATTACCGGCAGGTAATTTGCAGCACCAGTTGGCGCAGTCTTCCAGTTGGCCAGTTAGAATGAACGAGGATCCTTTTGAGTCGACGATCGCCCCATTTTTCTTCGAGGCTCCAAAGTCCAGTTTCCGGCCTGGTCGAAATATGCCTGGCGGATTACATGTGGGGATGCCCAGTGCTGAGTATTCGATAGAAGCTTCCACAAATCTGGGCGTCAGTAGAACAATAATGACAACTGGTATAAGTACTATGGTGACGGCAAATTTTGTCCACTCCATTGGATTGTGAAGTTTACTTTTTTTTGGCGTTGGTGCCATTCAGCCAATTTTGGGATTAGTTGTGCTCCAATCTGTAAACATTAATGATGATAAATGATGAGGCTGGTTTCTTAGCTTTAAATTGCCGAAATATTTACTATGCTGGCATCGATCAATAGGATAGCAATTCGGTATGATTTAACGGTATGTCAGATTAGGTCAATTCGATATTTCTACAAAACAGATCACCTTCAAATGAAGAGACTAATCCTCGAAACACCGGGAATGCGTGCAGATTAACTACACTAATTAAAAGAATGTGAATGCAGTGCTAAGCAGGACCCTGGCCTTCTTTATCTGTTTCATAAATCTTGATCTACCCATATAATTTGGCCGACCTTAAAAACGATGCAAGCAATGAATATTGTATCTCGAAGTAATGCTAACTTTTGAAGTGCGCTAATATAGTTGTCGAGCATCAAATAATTTCTGACCTCTATAACATCGGTAGAAGTTAAATATATCAATGTTATTTTGTCGTGCATAATATACCAGCCTATAAGGATTATTAGCAGGGGGTCAATAATCTAATGATGAATGTAGTCTATGATCATGAAAGCACAGTTAAATCTTTTCTTAAAACCAGTTTAAAATCAGTTTTTGTTTTATACATAAACAGTTATAGTATAACTGCGACAAGGGGACACTGCATGTATGACAGAATAGAAAAAGAGCAGGCCGAACGCGAACAACGTATCCCTACACTATTATGCATATAGACAACTGTCACATGTTCTGTGTATAACACTACATTGGCTGACAGAACTGTGACAGACAACCAAATGTAGAAACTACTGTACCTGCTACATTGTCGTACGCTGAGTTGTGCTGGGCCAGTGGCCTCTGCACGCGACAATACGAATGCGCACAGAGTACGTCAACTTGACACACCGTCACACACACACACACAAACGGTGTGCATACGGATGCACAGATTTAATTATTTTCGCTTCTAGTCAATACCGAGGCCAAAGGAACCGGAAGAGTGTAGACCCTTAATGAACAAGTAGAAATAGCTAGTCTTCTACAGCACATTACGATCGGCCCAAGTCGCCCTTTACGGGGAAGATGACGTCTTCAAAACACCGAAGACCGCGCACTACTTGTCGAATAGGGCACATACACAGGAGCTCTTACAGTCTTAATGAACTGGATGGATACCGAACCTATACTTAAATTGCGTTTTCACATGCCAGGCAATGTCAGTACTTTGTAGATAATAGTATGTGATTAATGCAGCTTGTTTCTATGTTTCTAATATGAAATTAACGTAAAGTGACTGTTTCTGACGAAAACAAGCGTTCTCTATAACTAATATGTGATGATCCCAATAATCTGGTTAGGCACTGTGGTGGCGTTATAGTACAGTCCTAACTAAATATAAAACTATTTATTATTATTATTTTGCCGTATAATATGTCATTAATAACTACCATAAGCAACAATGTTTCGCAGTTATGCGGCGTCCCTAACAGTGGTGAAGACCGAAGATAGAAATAGAAGACTGACGATAACTACCTAGTAGAGCGCCATCTATGAGTAGCTGACCGAATTATTGAATATTTAAAATTAATTGACACTACTCTAGGATATATTTTTCCATGCTTTTACTGCTGTTATCGTATGGTTATTATGAAAGATTTGACAAGAAAAGTTTGTCTAATGGAACCAATGGCAAAAATTGTTGAGTCAAAGCATACGGGCAAAAAACGCGCCAGCTTAAAAAAGAAATACCACATTTAGATCATTTCGAGGACCCACTGAATGTTCGTGTCTCTTTAAAAAGTCAACTCAAGTGCCGCTTGGTTTTGAAACAGTGAAAGTTCCGTTATTGATTATGGGACTTGCTGTAAATATAAGGTCGCACTCTTATTGATATATGGCTTGATTTAAAACTGTCCACATTCTTGATAAGACACTTTTTTTTTTTCTCTGGGTCCGAACTCTGCTAGTATTCTAAAAAAAAATGGAAACACAAATCGTCCAGTGTGGGCCTTGCATTTGATCAGTATCTGTCTTCCATGTCAAAGACTTGTGAAACACTAGTAGGATATGTACAACCCAATCTCACTCCAGTGCCCTATCGTTTTCGATGAGACTGATGTGATTTGAAATGACGTCGTTTCGCTGAAAGTAATAAAAATAGAATCCGACTTGCACGTAGAAACTCACGCTTTTGCGGTTTGCTCAGGGCGAGTGTGCTCTTAGCGAGCATCGGTAAAGTTGGTTTTCGTTATTCGTATCGGCAAGAATAATAAGTGCAGACATTGACGATGTTTTCATATAGATTGTCACAGGAGGTCGACGCTAAACACAAAAATTTTGAACATTTGGGCTCTAATTATAGCGGCACTACTAGTCATAGCTGCCGCCAAATAACTATTTTTCTGATAGTTGTTACAAACAAACCATGAAATTACAAAGAAAAACACAGGAAACATTTAGTTTAAATAAAGAAGCAAGAGAGGGACTTCGGGCGTGGCAGAGAATGGCGTTGGTACATTCTGTTCTAATTTGGATTAGATTCTACTTAGAAATATCCTACTTCTAACTTCTTGGGACTTTAAGCTTCATCAAACATTAAACCAGATATATCGATACGAGTCAGTTAAGGGAATATTTTAAATACGATACCCTGAGTAATTTGTACATTATTCACGTTATATTAAATTATTTTGTAGGTAGATTATCCTGCAAACAATGTCACATAGTAAGAGCTGTGAAGTATTGGATTTTATGGAATATTTTTAAACAGTAACAAAATGTGGGTATGGATGATGAAAGCACTTTATTTGTAATTTTAATAAAACGGTAATGATAAGTCCGAAACGATATATATATATATATATATATATATATATAGAGAGAGAGAGAGAGAGAGAGGGAGAGATTATCAGGAGCGTGGCGATTAGGACGAAGTCCCGACTATTGAACTTGACTACACAGCTTAAATGGTTTACTCATCGGCAGAGAAGCTAAACAGACTCAACAGGTGTCGGAATCGCTTTTAGGATAGTCTATGCATGTGAAACTCTGATTGTTTACTCACTTTTGAGGTTTTATGGGGAGACGTTGCGATTTTGATTGAAAGTTGATCAGCGACAAGTTTTTCATGGTCAAAATAGTAGATTTATTCAGTTTATCGTTGCAGAATTCATGGATTCAAATTACATAAAGCAAAAAAATGAGCAGGCTTTACCCTCTAAAGTAGAGGTTGTTGAAACGGTGCATCCCGCAAGTTATCGTGAAAATCAATCAAAAAGATAATTCACAGTTAACGAATAAGAGATCTCCTTATTTATAAGACGTTCATGAATATTCGGTGCTTGAAGTGCCTTCGACAGATTGACTAAAGTAACATCAGATGCATTTATTAAATTATATAATTCGTTTTGGTTCTACTGATGCTCAGATTATGGATTCTATGACAAATCGTCTATAAAGCACAATCTTAAGTAAAAAAATCGTGTTAGTAGCATTGCATAATCACTTCTTAAGTTCTTATAATGTAACAAGCTTTTGGGTAAAACGATATGCGTAAAAGTACAAATAGCGATGATTATGGCCCTTTAAGATTAAGTTTTGAATCTATTGTATTTTTATATAGATATTTAGCGATATAAAGTTATTGATCATGCTTGTCGTTGTAAGTCTTCAAAGAAATATAGTTAATCATTCAGACTCGAAATCTGAGTTTTTCAATTCAAGGTGATAGAACGATGTTCTTTTCTATTACTATGTTACAGGGTAAACGTTTTCAAATGTTTTGTCTATCTTCTATCTATAACAAAAGAGTTTGCTCTACCGAACTATTGTACAAGTATTGTACAAGTCTCAATAACTACGACGTAAGTAAATAACACTCACACTTGACAGTTTATTTATGACATGTGTACATGTAAGTACTTTCATTGAATAAATTGCTATATCTGGCGCTAGCAATCTGTACATTGCAACTAGGCAACTTGATTTCAACACATGAAATAAACGAGAAAATATGTTACAGCATTTAACTTACTTAACATCCAGGGTCCCCAACCCTTCCAAGAGGTCTTTTTATAGCCTGCATATCCCGTGTACTCCTGTCTATCAAAGCTGTTACGATATAAAAGAGGCTGCTCTGTGAGGTCGAGCGACAGATCTTTTATGGGTCGTTTTCAAATTACTAAATTAGTACTGTCCTTGGAGTCCAGCGGCATAAAGTTTAATCTCTTTATTTCTTCCAGATACAGTCATCTGAGAACATCGCAATGTTGTTTTCATTTATATCCATAACTTTACTCCCAGTCCTTATCCTCGTCAAAGCAGCACCTTGAGTGAAGCATACAACAGCCGAAGTTTCGAACACTGAAGTCAACGCCTTCATCACAAAAGTAGCACACGGAAATGTTGAGATTTTGACTAAAGTGCACGGACTCCTGAACAAATGACGAAAGAAGCACCAGTACAAAGAGTGTGATGAGAACGGCTAAACAGGCGTGGACGCGTCTTTTGAAGGCCATCGTTTTAACTCACAGAACCCACCAAGACGTACTAACTATGGCAAGTTTTGTATGTACTACCGCCTTTAAAAGGTACCTTTTGTGGACAGCGTCTAGCTGCAGCCTGATGCGTCGTATCTATTCCAGCAGTTGTCACTGACTTTATCTTGAAGATTGTCTATACACCGAGCTGTACGTATGATGAACTCTACTTAATATCCTTGTTAGTGAGTGTTTATCGAAGTTTTCGAATTACGGTCAGAATAATGACCTTTTCTTTAATTTCAGCATTCCAACTGCGCTGATACGAAATCATTGCTAACAACGTCTTTTTGGCTACCAGCACGTCTTAGAGGAAGTGCTTCGTAAATATTTCCAATGGTGGCTAGCCATCAATAAAGCAGTCTGCCGTTTGTAGCTGATTCGCATCTTCTTCGGTTACCTGCGATCGCTTCGAAGGATGTCGTATGACTAATAGAGTCCTCGCGCGTAATACCACTTCACGGAAGGAAGCCTATAGTTACCTTCGGGGGGGGGCTGCCCCGAGTGCCCCGACGTCTGGCGGTGCTGCTGTCTTAAACGGCTATTATGTAATAGCAGTCGAAGTTGCGGGAAGGGTCCCTTCCGATGTGTGCGTTTTCTTCTTACCAGGAAGTCAATAGAATCGCGCCAAATCATGTTATTATCCGTATGGCGATAATATATTTTGTGAAATGATTGCACTGCCAATGATGCGTGTTATAAGAAACTGACACTCTCACTATGTTGCCAAACATCTAATCCTATGCAGCTATGCATTATAGAAGTATATTAATATATACGCTCTCAGTAAACACACTTAGCTTCACCCAATCTTCTTTCTGCTAACCGTCAATATAATGTGGTTCTAGCGGCCTATGAATAGAGCCTTGTATTTTTCACCCATACGCAACAATAATACGACGTCCGTTTGCAGTGTGTATTTTGCCAACATGCAATCGCACATATTTTTTTATATGATATTTATAGTTAATTTGATTATATTTGTAAACTCGTTCTAAGTAAAACCCTTTAACTGAATATTAATTTAATCGTCATTCAAAAAAATACACTGAATCTTCAGTTTATCAGTAACAGAAGCATAACTTTTGGGATTGGTGCGGGTCTGGTTTAAGAACTAGTGTGGATTTTTTTTATAGAACAATAGACTGACGACATTGTAAAGTGTATGTATTAAGTGCTATACTTGAGGTGACCTTAATAGACCAGATTCGAAAACAAATAGCCTCGTGTTTCGCCATCTTAGACGACTTAGGCTCAACGATTGACTCCTATACTATGCGTTCAGTCGCGGCGGTCAGTTGATAAAGGTAATTACACAATTATCAAACATATTCTATTAACAAGAGAACTTTAGGGTTAACCGATGAGTCTTAATGATGGTAGCTTTATTGAATTGGTCAGGAGAAAGATCAACTTTCTGTGATCAGCTTTTTAGATAGGGCTTTACGTACTGCATAACAGTTTTATTTAGAATAGAAATAAGCACATTCGTTTGACGTTACGAATAAATTCTTACAGTATAAGCGCCTATGTTTGTGCATGTATGGGTACTGGTAATGAGTGAAGGCAATATTCAAAAGAAAAAAAAAAGGTTGAAAAGTAGCAGATAATTAGAGTGAGTACAGGTCGGCAACGCTTCGCCCCGTTGTTGATTGTGCTAGATCTCCCGTTGATTATCACGATTTTTTGGCAGCAGAAAAGCTCTATCCTTGTAGTTCGTTGTTTTGCCTGCGCGCATTGGAGTGTCGTCACGCTGTTGAATGGTTCGTTAAATTATT